TGCAACGATGCTGTACCGTATATGATCGCTTTGATAACCATCAGCTAAATCCAATTCGGCGATCCAAATTGGTGGGACTGTATTTTCTTCGACCTCGACCTCATAATATCGATGCCTGAACGTTGGGATCTTTTGAACTTCATTAAACGATTCATCCTGATCGTCCTTTTCTTTTACCTCATCATCGTTATCGTCATCGACATTGTCGTTCTCTTCATTATCATCACCGTCGTCTATGTTAATAATTTCTACGGTTACAACAGCGGTTGATGTCATGCTAATAGGAGAACCTAAATCACTCGCGGTAATTATTAATCGATGATTCTTTATTTTCTCATAATCGAGATTTGAGATAGTTGTTATGGAACCCTCTTTACTATCTATCGTGAAATATTGCTTCTCTTCGTGGCTTGAATTAACCAAATTGAATAATATCAATCCATTTCCATTTCCTGCAAAGTCGCTATCGTTCGCATGTATCCTCGTCACTAAAGTACCGATAGGACTGTTTTCAAATATTGACGTACGATAAACCGGTATTGGTATGCCACGATCGTCATTCTCAAGTTCGTCGTAATTATAAAAATTCGGGGCGTTATCGTTCACGTCCAAAACGTTCACTTCAATTTCAACGGTCGAACTAAGAACAGGTGAACCATCGTCATGAGCTAATAATACCAAACGATGTACTGGTTTCTTTTCTCTATCGAGTTTTCCATTTATCCTTAATACACCGTCTCGCGGTCCAACGTCAAATATCCACGTTGAATTATCATCATTTTCATTCGATTCGTCCATCGCTCCAGATATTATCTCATAATTGACATTAGCATTGACACCAAAATCATTGTCTATAGCACGAACTGTACCAATAGTATGAGCCATGTAAATACCTTCGGCAAGATCAAAGGTATACCAGGATTGATCAAATACAGGTGGATGATCGTTCACATCTACGACGTGTATTCTTATAGTTATGTTATCGGTAAGGCCACCACCGTCTTTGGCAAAAACTATTAAACGTACGTTCCTTTCCGGTGGAAGGGAACGAGCTATAGAAATTTCTGCAGTTCTTGAATCCAACAAAAAATATCTTCGACCGTTCGAATCCTGTTTCGATTGTCCAATGATACTTGAGTTAACTCCAGATATCGTCTCATTTTGTATATTATAACTTATCTCAGAATTAATTCCTTCGTCTTTGTCCTCTGCTAACAATCGTATAATAGGCGTGCCAATCGTCACATTTTCCGGTACCAAAAGTAATGGTGATTTCCGTTCGTTCGATCGTTTCGTATCGTTTCTTCCATTGATAGTCGTTGAATCTATCATTTGATTAGTATTTGCGTTTGATTCCTCATCCGGTTGATTCGATACTTTAACGCCTTGATCGGGTAGAACGATCATGCGAATGAATTTCGGTGAATTGTCGTTCGTGTCCTCGACGATGATTTTCAAACGTGCCGTTGATCTCAAACCCCCTTTTGAATTGTATCGGAAGAAAATAATAAAAAAAAAAAAAAAAAAAAAAAAAACAGAAAGAAAGAAAAAAGCGATTAATTTCATCGATCAAAAATGAACGAATCATGATTGTCCATGTCTCTCTCTCTCTCTCTCTCTCTCTCTCTTTCTATTTTTCTTCAAACGTTTGTTTGATTTATAAAACCTCGCAAAGTCAAGATCGAATGGAATAAAAATCCTCATTGATTTGGTAGAATGAATATTAAAAAGCTTACCCCCATCCTCGGCGACTACTTCAAGATCATAGATTGCTCTTTCCTCTCGATTCAAACTCTCCCCTTTGCTACCCTCGAAGAACACTCGAGCATTTCTAGGATCGATTTTGAATAGGGAACAACCTTCACCGGTCAAACTGTAAATAAACTCTTGGTTAATACCCTCGTCTTTGTCAGAAGCACCAATGGGATTGACCATGACAACTTCCGTTCCGTACGGACTGTTTTCAAGTATTCGTCCTTCGTAATAAGACGAGGTAAAAACTGGCGGATGGTCATTCTCATCGTCGACTATTACTCTTATCTGAAATATCAATGATATTCATAAATATCTCGATTATATTCATTTTTCATTCAAAAATTTTCTTTCTTTACATTTTCTTTTTTAATTTTGATTTTTTCTTTTTTTCTTTTCGATGATCTTTTCCACATCTTTTAATACGAATTCGCGCATTTTTGATAATTACGATCATGATATAAAGAGTAAATAAAATGGATTATAATTATCGAATGATAATATGAATGATAATGAAAATGATAACATACTTGAACGACACGAAGTCCTTTAGAACCTTCGACTATCACAGTGATACTATAATTCTGTCGTGTCTCTCGATCAAGTCCATTTGGTGCGTAAAGATCACCATCCTTCGTGATACTTATGTCAGGCACGTCCTGTTGATTGACGATAAGAAAACTTGTAGTGGAGGACGTCGAAGCTGTACCATTATCTGATAAAACGGATCCTATGTACGTGCCCGGGA